AAAAAAAAAAAAGAAAGAAAGGAAAAAGAAAGTCTTGCACAATGTTCTCAATGTTTTATTTATTTATTTATTCATTCATCTTTTCATTTACTTATTTAGAGACAAAAATCTCACTCTATCACCCTGGGCAGAGTGCGCTGGGTGTCATCACAGTTCACAATAACCACAAACTCTTGGGCTTAAAAACCCTCTTGCCTGGGCCTCCTGAGTAGCTAGGACTACAGGCACCAGTCACAACATCTGGCTGGTTTTTCTTGTCTTTTCAAGCTGTCCCCCTAGGTGGATTGCCATGGCATCATAGCTCACAGCAACCTCCAACTCTTGTGCTCAAGCCATCCTCTTGCCTCACTTTTTCTACTTTTAGTAGAAACAGGGTCTCCCTTTTCGCTTAGGCTGGTCAGCCTCCCAGAGAGCTAAGATTACAGGGGAGAGCCTCTGCGTCCAGTCTCAGCTAGTTTTTCTACTGTTAAGAGAGACTGTGTCTCCCTCTTGCTCAGGCTGGTCTCCAACTCCTAAATTCAGGCAATCCACCCACCTCTGCCTCCCAACGTATTAGGATTACAAGCATGAACCACTAACTCCAGGTAAGCCTATGTTCTCAATGTTTTAAAACTCAAATTCTTGGCTTGGTGCCTGTAGTTCAAGCGGCTAAGGCGCCAGCCACATACACCAGAGCTGGCAGGTTCAACTCCAGCCTGGGCCTACCAAACAACAATGACATCTACATCCAAAAAAATAGCCGAGTGTTGTGGCGGGCGCTTGTAGTCCCAGCTACTTGGTAGGCTGAGGCTAGAGAATCGCTTGAGCCCAGGAGCTGGAGGTTGCTGTGAGCTGCTGCGATGGCATTCTACCCAGGGCTTTGTCTAAAAAAAAAAAAAAAACAACTCTCAAATTCTTAAAGATGTGGCTATTGATCTATCACATCAATAATTATACTGTATTTCTAGTTTATTATTATTTATTCTCTCAAGTTCAGAAACAGAGTAAAAACTGAAAGGTAGACTCTGGGCTCAGTGTATGCAAGGACTCAATCAGTGCTGCCTGCCAAGAGAAATCACAGACAGTTCCAGCGGCCCTTGACTTCCCTCCCTCTTCTTTTGAAGAATAGTCCATCTTCTTCAAAATACCGCTGATCCGTTTCCTGGAATACAACCCTAGAAAAGCCACAATCCCTATTATGAATGAATTCGTATTACAAGAGCCCGGAATGCTATCAGCAAACATCGCGATTAATGAAGCTTTTCCTCACACCTTACCCCACCGAGCACTGTGAGGCAGGAAAGGTGATTACTGTCCCTGTTTTTCAGGTGTAGAACTCCAGGCTCAGAGGCATGTAACTCTCACGACGCCACAGAGCAGGTGGCAGGTCACAAACTCCAACACTGAACCACAATTCCGCTAAAGTCGCACTCTTAGGGAGGGAGAGCGGTTCCCCATCCTGTAGCCCCCGGTGCTTCTCTGCGGCTCCCCAGCAGGAGGCCGCTTCCCTCCCGCCTTCACACGCTCCCTCGTACCCTCCTTCCCCAGGAGGCCAGGTGGAGCAATTCCGCTTCGTCCCCCGCCTCGAAAGCCCTCCTGGCCAGGAATCCTAGCTCGCCGCAACGCGGCGTAACGCACTCACCGATCCGGCCCGGACAACGCAATGCCGGAAGCCCCGCCCAGCCACTCCAGGGAACACCGCCTAAGTCCTTCCGCCGCGCGCTGCGGCCACGCAGAATCGTTCCGGCTCCTAGGAGCGGAAGCTGTCGGAGGGAGGCGCTGGAGAGGAGCGAGTCCCCAGAGCTGACTTGGGTACGGTACGGGAAAGGGCAGCTGCGCGCCTTCCAGCTGAGTTTCACGGAGAACTGCCAGAGTGGTCAGCATTCTCTCTGGGTAGGTCAGATGCTCAGCAGCGGTCTACTTGGGTTCCAAGGAACTTGACTCTGTTTTTAAAGGTCGAAAGACTCAGTATTCTGTTGCTCTTACTGTTGATTCAACAAATCCATCGAGTGCCAACTTTGGGCCTGGTAAGAGTTCTAAGCACTGAGGAAATAGCAGTGGGAAACTGACAAAATCCTTGCTCTCGTGGAGTTTTCCTTGTAGGAGGGAATGAAGGCTATGAAGAAAAATACATATTAGGTCAAATGACAAAAGTGGGCTCGGCGCCCGTAGCTCAGTGAATGTGGCGCGAGCCATATACACAGAGGCTGGCGGGTTCGAATACAGCCCGGGCCAGCTAAACAACAATGACAGTTGCAACAAAAAATAGCCTGGCGTTGTGGCAGGCACTTGTAGTCCCAGCGACTTGGGATGCTGAGGCAAGAGAATGGCGTAAGCCCAAGAGCTGGAGGTTCCTGTGAGCTGTGATTTCAAAGCACTCTACCGACGGCGACAAAATAAGAATCTACCTCAAAAAAGAAAAAGAAAGAAAGAAAAATACAAGTGAAATCTCTATCATTTCTCATACTTGAGAAGAGGATCAGAAAAAGGGAAGAGCAGGGACAGGAGGGAAGACCAGAAAGGACAAGCACAAGCTGGGGCCTCTTTCCCCTCCCATCAACGCATTCATCCCCTCCCTTGCCTGTATTATTTCTTTGGTACCAAATTCTTCCCATCTCTGTTTTGCCTTTAGCAAAAGTATAAACAGATGGTATCCTGCACAGGAATGGAAAAAAAAAAAAAACAGACCTGGATTTAAAATCAGCCTCTTATACACTTATTGGGTGACCTCAAGCAAGTCACGATCCATCTTTGGAGTAGCTGGTACTACAGAGGCATGCCTACACTTGGCTAATTTATACTTTAAGTAGAGATGGGGTCTGGCTATGTTGCCACTCTGATCTCAAATTCCTGGCCTCAAGAGATCCTCCCATCTCAACCTCCCATAGTGCTGGGATTACAGGCATGAGACACTGTGCAAGGCCAATTCCAATAACTTTACTTGGAAACCAGTCATACCAGACAGACTCATTTAAAACCTCCAGAAATGACAAGAGTATCCAGTTAATCATGAGCATATGTAATCACTATTTGTTCTATTCTTTTTCTTTTTTGAGACAGAGTCTCACTTTATTGCCCTTGGTAGAGTGCCATTGCATCACAGCTCACAGCAACCACCAGCTCTCGGACTTAGGCAATTCTCTTGCCTCATCCTCCCAAATAAGCTGGGACTACAGGTGCCCGCCACAACACCTGGCTATTTTTTTGTTGCAGTTTGGCCGTGGTGGCGCCCTCCTCAATGAGCCACAGTCACCGCCCTATTTGTTCTGTTCTAAAAAAGCATTTGTCCATCATCTATAGATGTCAAAATGCCAAGCCTAATGTATTATCTGCCTAGAATTCCTAAGAATTTACTTACCAACAGCACAGGCCAAACATGGAATTGAATGACATACTTTTTTGAGACCGAATCTCACTATTGCCCTCCAACTCCTAGGTTCAAGTGATCCTCTTGTCTCAGCCTCCTAAGTAGCTGGAACTACAGGTGCCTGCCATAATGCCGGGCTAGTTTTTAGAGACACGGTCTCGCTTTTGCTCAAGCTAGTCTGAACTCCTGACCTCCAGGAATCTACGCATCTCAGCCTCTGTGGGTGCTATGATTACAGGTGTGAGCCACTGCGCTCAGCCCTGACACATAGAGTTTTAAAATGCCAATTTTAAAAAAATGTGTTAAAGGTTGGACATGGTGGCTTATATAAGTAATCCTAGTATTCTGGGAGGCTGAAAAAGGAGGATCCTTGAGCTCAGGAGTTCTAGACCAGCTTGAACAAGAGTGAGACCCTGGCTCTAAATACAATAAGTGGGCATTGTAGCAGGCACCTGTAGTCCTCGCTAGTCAGGATGTAGCAGGAAACCGAGGCAGACAGAAGACTTCAGGCACCAGTTGATTAGAGGAAGCGGGTTTATTCGGCCGGGGGTACCCGGAACACCAGCGTGTTTCCCAAAACCGAGCCCCCGGACTCAATCTGTTGCCTCTCTTTTATCCACCTTTCAGGGTGGGAGTGCACGTGAGGGTCATAAGACAGAGAGACATGACATCATCCTCAAGGTCCCGGGCTCAAAGGGGGAAGGTCAGATTCGCCCGTGTCCTTGTGGTTGGACCACCTGCCCCAAAGGCAACAGAAACCCAAGGAAGTTACTAGGTTACAATCTAGGCCCAGGGTATGTCGGGGGAGAAACACGCAGACAGCAGAAACGCCTGCGGCTTGGCTGAGGCCTACACAGACTGCTAGGATAGATTCTTTCAGTTCTGCTTTTACTTTCTTGCCTCAAGGAGACTGAGGCAGGAAGATCACTTGAGCCTAGGAATTTGAGGTTGCTGTGAGCTAGGCCAATGCCATGGCACTCTAGCCCTGGGGGACAGAGGCTGTCTTCAGGCAAAAAAAAAAAAAAAGAAAGGAAAGAAAAAAATGTGTTTCAACTTCTGGCTTTGGGAGATAGGGGTAGCTGGAAGTACTTACTTTAGGACAAGCACTAAGTCACACATTAACTACCCTCTTAATTATGAAATTACAAATATTTTTTGTAAATACAAAAAACCGAGGATTGGAGGGGCTAGGTCAGGGGTCCTCAAACTTTTTAAACAGGGGGCCAGTTCACTGTCCCTCAGACTGTTGGAGGGCTGAACTGAGGGCCCTGGGACGGGTCAGCTGCTAAGCAGGACAGGCAGCAGCGGCAAAAACACCTGGCAGGCCGGGTAAATGTCCTAGGTGAGCTGCATGTGGCCTGCAGGCTGTAGTTTGAGGACGCCTGGGCTAGATAATTTTTCCACAGTCCAACAGTAAGAATAGGAGAATACATGCAAGCAGGTCCCATGGCAGCAACTGGAAATTCTGGGGAGACATTTTTCCACATTTTATTTGTCACACAAATTATAGTTACATATCCATGTTCTTTTTTAACTCCAAAGCAGCATTAAAGTAACACAATGTTTTCTAAAAACTACCCAGATTTAGGCATTTTTTAATTCACATCCTCCCATGGAAAGAAATACTAAAATATGGAACAACTGAGGGATGTCCTCTATGTCCTTTCCCACAGGGAGGGTATGCTGTAGTACAGCAGAATCACGAACTGCCAGGAAATTGCGAGTCCTAATTCCCCAGATGAACCTTGCATCGGTCCACCTTGACCCTTCTTTATACAAACACACCCACTTGGGTCTTTAGATATTTCATGTGAAGCACTTTGTGTTAAAAATACTTAAAAGGCATGCAAAACTCAGACAGGATACTTTATTAACATCAGAATAATCTCACATTACCTAATACATTAACAAAGTCAACCTAGGATGGCATCATACATTCCAATAGTCCAAAGAGCAAAGATCCCAATCTTTAGCTTTGCCACTTGCTAGTGTGTAACAATGGGCCAGTTAATCTAGCAGATCATTAGTTTCTTTATCTATAAATGTTTACATGTTAGATTATTGAGAATAAAGAAAATTTCACATATGCATATGTATCCAATATTGTCTAGTATAAATACTAGACTTCACTTTATTTCAAAAAATACAAAACATAAAACATTAACATTCGTTATTCTGAGTTTTGTTTTTTTCTGTTTTTTTAAAAAATTAAAATATTGATCCTATTCACTTTTAATACAAAAATTGCTACACAGAACGGTTGACAGCAGGGAGCAGTACTGCAGATAAGACAACCACAGAAGGTTCGAAATGGAAGAGCAGTCTGAAGTCTAAACTAAAAATATTTCCTGATTAGGAAAACTGCCTGAGTGGCTTTTCAAAGTAACTTTACATCCAGCTCATTAATGCCAACACCAACAGAAATACCCTGATCCTAAAGTGGTGTTAAGTGTAAATACATTTGAAAAATTACTTTCTCATTTTGTTTTTAAAGTCCAATTTTATGGCACAATTTTACAATGCAAACTCTTGCTCTTTCATTCTCTGCATTCAGCTAAGTAGTTTTGTTTAGTGAGAACACTAGAAAACCTGCCTTCATAAACTAAGTACACTGACTTCCAAGAATAAGTTGTTAAAAATTCAACACATGCTGGCTCAGCGCCTGTGGCTCAAGTGGCTAAGGCGCCAACCACATAGACCTAAGGTGGTGGGTTCGAATCCGGCCCGGGCCTGCCAAACAACAATGATGGCTGCAACCAAAAAATAGCCAGGCATTGTGGCAGGCGCCTGTGGTCCCAGCTACTTGGGAGGCAGAGGCAGG